AGTTTAATAATAATAATAATAATAATAGTCTTTATTAAAATACTCAGATACATCCGTCTGAGTTTACAATCGAAAGGTAATTGATCTAGTTATATTTACAATTGTAAGTTAAGAAGCGTAAAAAGTTTTAAAAAGTTTTTAATAGATTAAAGTCTAAATAGATTAAATATAATATATGAATACATTTATCTATACCACCTGCATGATCTGCTTAATAATATATGTAACAACCTTTGCACTACATTTTATATATATCTTTAGAGACACCCCGGCAAGTCACGACAAGGGTGAACTAAAATTTTTTTTGAATAAAATTACCCATTTCACTGTGAAGTGCCCAATTTTCAGCAGTTTGTTAATATTTAAATGTTTTTGTATCTTGCCTAATGTTGGACAATTTTATTTGCCAAGGAAAGTGTCCAGCTAGACTCCTGATGTTTCATGCCCATGATGTTTCATGTTGACATATTTAGATGTAATTTTCCTTAACACTCCCTACTTTAAGTTCTGCATGCACACAATATTTAACTGTGAGGTCTCAAGCTAGACAATTTTGCTTTTCGACTGTGGTCTGCTTGCCCATTTTTCACCTTTTAATACTGACAATTAAGCTCGCATGTATTGGCAATAACTGCTTGATCTGCAAGATGCTTGGTGGCATGGGTCTAACTGCTAGTAGACTACTATAGACTGCTCATCCTGCAATTGATTTGAAACCAAATCGTGTAATAGATTCCTTACAGTACGTTACTCAAACGTTGGTAACTCTGACTGTGGTAAACAATGTCATTGATTTGACACTGCTTAAACTGCCACATTCACCCCTGCCGCCCCTAAACTGCCACAACCTAGCATTGGCAGCTAATAAGAATACAAACTGTTTTATGTGTATTATTTTGTACAATTTTAATCGATAATACAGTATACCTGTCAACCATGGTACTGCATTGCTAGTTTTCAGCTAATTTGATATTATTTCATTACTATTTTTTAACTGGTTTTAATTATTATACTACAATAAATTTTATTACTTTATAAAGTAACTATGTTGCAGTGCTACTATTTTTATATAGCTATTTTATTGTTATTTTATAACTATTTTATTGCTACATCCTGACTATTTTATTGCTATTTTATGACTATTTTACTATTCTTTTATTGCTATTTTATAACTATTTTATTACTATTTTTTTTTCTGTTTTGGTGTTGTGTACTCAGGTGAATAATATGATGTTTGTGATGTTACTCTGAGTGTATATCCACACCGGGCGAGCTTGAAAAATATGCCCGGCCACGGTGGGAATCGAACCTACGACCTTTGGATACTAGCCCAATGCTCTACCAACTGAGCTACGCGGTCAGGACGGTTCGAGTAAGTGATATTTCGGAACAGAGTAACATCACAAACATCATATTATTCACCTGAGTACACAACACCAAAACAGAAAAAAAAAATCAAATTTTATTACTACTTTCTGAATATTTTATTACTATTTTTTTTATTAATTTTGAACTATTTTTTTACTATTTTGTTCGCTATTTTATCACTATTTTAAATTCTACTATTTTATTACTATTTTATAAGTATTTTATTCATATTTTTAAACTATTTTATTACTATTTTTGCAGTAATTTTATTACTATTTTTAGTTAATATGCTGCAATTGATCCACTATTTTATATGTATATTCGACTATTTTTAACCTATTTTATATATATTTAAAATCTATTTTATTACCAATGTTTCACTTTACTTTATTATTTTATTTCTATTTTGCACTCTATTTTAAATATATTTTATCCTATTTTAAACCTATTTTAATCTGTGCTTCACCGATTCAGAAAAATAAAATCTATTTAAAATAGGCTATTTTTTGTTTCAAAAAAACCTATTTATAATAGCTATAAAATACAATTAAAACAGAGTTCTAATAGGTTTAATATAGGATTTGTGTATGTGATAGCAATATGATAGGGTTAAAAATAAAATAGCTTTTCTATAGGAATAACATAGAAAGTAAAATAGGGATAAAATAGGGTTAAAATAGTGTTGATTTTCGTGACGAAGCAGGATTTTCCGTATTGCCCACGGACAATATGCAGTTTTTATTGCTCCACGAAGCTGCGACGAGAGCCGAGTTTCAAACGGCAAAAAGTGACTAAAAGTCTTTCAAACAATTCAAAACGAAGAAAAACAAACCTGAAATAGATAAAAGGAGCAACTACTGTGGTAAACGAATTTTCTCAATACGTTTTTGTTAGCGAAAGTAGAAATTACAAGGTAAATTTTACAATGTTGATAACTATTAAAGAGTCAAGAATAGTTATGTTTTGAACATGTGAAGAGCTCCAAATTTTATTTGCAGATAGCATGGAAATAATAGTCAATAGATATATCTATTATTTCTATGCCTATGGCAGATAGCCAGGATAAATTTTATTTGACATCATCTAAATAAAAATACAACTAAAGCATTTATAATTTAGATTTATAATTTTTTCCTGAAAATTTCTGTTTTTGTTAGATAAAATGAGACATAAATATGCGATGAAGCGAACTAAACAAGTATAGAAACGTACACTTGTCGATGTTGTTTATTAATTTTATTGTATTCATATTTGTTGTCTTTGATTAAAATGACAAAATACCTCGTATGAAAAAGCGTGACCTTTTTCACATTTTTTACAAACGTACAATGCCATAAAATAAAAAAAACTTACTGACCATCCTCGGTACGTCTAGCAGTATTGACAGCAAGTCCTCGGTTGGATGTTTTCCCGTACTGCCCTCACTCTCGGACAGTATAGTTTATTGTTATTGTAATTATGGCGTTGCACGTTTGTAAAAAATTTAAATGGAGGAAAACGTCACGCGAGGGCAAAGTACAAACTCCGAAATATTGGAAAAAACAATTGTAAAAATTTTTCACTTGGCTTTACCGGGCGCAGTGAAGCTACTCTGCAGTACTTTTATAGAATGCTGCGTGACAGAGCTTTTCTGAATGGTGGTATTTCAGGAAAAACGAGGTTAACAAATATGAAAACAATAAAATTTATATAGGGTCATTCCATTTATTATCCACACACCCCTGTGAATGAGCACTGGACATTCAGACTAATTCCAAGAAGAACCTGTTGGTTATATATCGATAGTAAATATCTAAACTCAATGAATATGGAATTTTCCCCAAAATTCTTCCCATTTACTATCCGCATCCCCCGCACGCATCAGCTTGTTTTGAGTGCCAAATGAATTGTGGCACTGAAGAGCAATTCAACTTATGATACGAATATTACTAAGTCAAAAACCTTTCTCGAAGTCTGACGAAGCAAAGCACTTTTTAAATATTTTTAAAAACGTATCGGGGATGGAGACGCACCGGACGCAATTCGACAACGCGGCTCGACTTTTTCGATGTTCAGTGGATTTTTCACTGACCGATAACATTGATCCTGCTTTACGTTTTCCAAATATTTGGAAGCGCAATAACATTTTGAGTTATTTAGTCTGCATATCTTTTAAAATTTCCTGTCATTGGCTGTTTTGTGAGACTTTGCAGGGTTCGTATAAGAAAAATCCAGGACCTTAACGTATTTCCAGTGGTGTTTGAAATACGAGTATATGAAATACGAGTATGTATATTTTAGTATAAAAAAGTTAAAATGAGTAAAAGTATAAGCATAGGATGGTTGAAATATATTATGGATGGAAAACTGAAAAATCTATTACTGTCGTTTGCAGCTATGGATGAACGATCGCTCATAAAAACATTGCCTATTTGCGTGAGAATCTTAAATGTTTGTCAACAGCACTTGGTATGTTTTAATCTGATCAGCCAATCACGTTCAACCAGCTCCAAGCTGATTGCATTTGGCTGAGCGAATTGAAACCATCAAATGATCATCACAAACATTGAAGTTTCTCGGTAAAAACATTGAACTTTATCATGAGAATAGACAACGTTTTCTCATCCTTAGTTGCAAACGACGGTATTCCGCCATGAAAACGGACGCCAAGCAGGTTTGGGAGCACAATACATTGTGGTTGACAACGACTCTTCCTCCCTATCTAAATAAACACCTTCAACAATCTCGAATTTTCTATCTTTTTTATCCTTTGACTTTAATGTTTAGTTTATAACAATGTTTACTTTAATTAAAAATTTTACCACATTGCAGCCAATAACTGAATTGAGTGGTTTACATGTATCACTAAAAAAGCACTACTCTACTTGTATTATTAATATACTGCTTATGTACATGAGTTAATGAATTTACAGATTCTATTTAAAAAGCATGTATGAAATTTTTAGAAAATCCACCCTCTACCAAAGATCGTTCAAATAAAGTTAAACCGTGCTATCCAGTGGCGTAACTACTATGGGCTCAGACCGGGTGAACCCGGGGGCCCCCAACCCAAATGAGGCCCCCAGGCTTAGGCGATAGGGCAAAAACATTGGCCAGGGCCTCTGATATGTTATAATGTCGTTTTATGACCATCAGAATTCTGTAAAATCTCTCCCCAAAGTCCAGGAAATGGCATTTCAGAGAGTCTAGATTCAAAAATTTTCCGGATGACCATGCCCTGGAACCCCTAGAAAACTCGTGCATATACGGCGCTCGACTCGTGCCTTTGGCACATCTACTAGGGGGGCCTTCGAAAATTTTGAACCGGGGGCCCCTTGATATAACGCTACGCCACTGGTGCTATCTATACTAAACTACTACACTTAGCGGGAATAAAAGAGTTTTGGAAGCGGTTCGTGTGTATATTGTACATATTTAAATGTCTGTTACTTCTTAAATCGTAACCAGTCTCACTCCTCGGAGGCAACAGATGGTGAAGTCTATGCGCCGGGTCCTCAATGATTTTCGTAAAGATTTGTCATATCCTCTCTTCTCTGAAATAAAGTAGGGAGTCTGAAATGTTCAAGGGCGTTACAATATGCCATTTTAGGAGATATGATTTTCGGCACACGTTTTTGAACAACCTCAAGTTCTTCTGCTAAGTACTTTGGAAGGGAATGACGGAACGCTTGAGCACAATATTCAAGTACAGGCCTCACTGTACAATAAAATTTCAAAACATCTTCAACCTCCACACTTGCTCGTTTCAACAATACTATAAATTATACAGGCGTTTATTTGCCTTCTTTATACTTTCTCTGATGTTATCACTCCATTGAAGTGTGCTTGACATAACGAGTCCCAGTATCTTTGTCTTCTTAACTACGGGCGTCTTAACAAGTACAGGATCAAAGGGTTGTTTAACAAGTTTAAAATCAATTCTTAGTTCTTTACATTTCTCAGCGTTCAGAGTTAGTCTGTTATAGGCGTCGACCATTTTTCGACATCGGTGACTGCATCTTGAACAAGGCTATTAATTTTGTGCCTTTGCTGACTACCTCGGCAGCTGTCGTATCATCGACAAACATCCACTTCGAGACATCACGAATGTCAGAATTAGTATTGAATATTAGTATAGAATATTAGTATTGTTTTCCCCAAATTTATGTTCGGTATTAATTTAAACCTTGGTCTTCGAAGTTCAAAGACGCTAGGTATACATGCACTGTTCAGCTGAGTCTATTGACAGTGCTTTCGATGAACAGGGAATGAGAGAATTTTATATTGTATTTAATGAATTTATATTTTATATCCTAAAATTGTAATAACTATAAAATGAATACACCTTAATTACAAGAAGTGAAAAGTTGCATTACCTTGACTATACTGTTGTTACGTGTGGTACAGAGGTGTGGCGGGAATGACTTTTTTGGTTCGTTGTAAAGCTAGTAGTAGTAGTAGTAGTAGTAGAACTTTATTTATCCACGCTGACCCCGTCAACCGTAGCTGATTTCCACGGGGGGCGTGTGCCAGAAAATTATTTTACATGCAGAATATGATAAGGATAAGCTAAGCTATTACAGTAATATATAAATTTAAAAGATATAACAAATGTTTTGAGCTATTTAAGTTATATTTACAAACGTTACCAAGCACTAATGTGAGCAGCGATTTTATTTCGAAAGGAAGAAAGTGACTTGCTTTCCCTAATTTCTTTTGGTATAGAATTCCAAATGTTTGCTCCGTCGTACATAAAACTATTTTTCATGCTATTTGTACGTGGTTTTGGTAAATAGAGACCACTTGAGACGTCCCGGAGGTGGTAATTAGTTTTCTCACTCTTAAACGAAAATAGATTTGTGAGTGATTTTGGGCCCATTTTGTTTAATAACTTATACATCATTCTTGCTTTAGTTTTCTTCCTTTCAGTTTGGAGTGGCTCCCAGCCCAAAGTACGTAACGCAATCGTATAATCTACGTCATTGCTTATATTCAGAATAATTCTTGCCGCTCTATTTTGCAGTTTTTGCAGTCGTTTTGATTGAGTTTCGCCAAATACATCCCATGCTTCACAGCAGTAGTCAAAGTACGGACGAACAATAGTGTTATATATCAAAATAAGTGTATCTTGGTCAACAAATAATTTGATCCGACGAATAGCAGAGATTCCTGCTGTAACTTTTTTGCAAATATTTTCGGTATTACTTTTCCAAGATAAATGCTGGTCAATTGTTACTCCTAGAGTTTTGCATTCATGAACTTGTTTAATTTGTATATTTTCAATGTAAACATTTGGGCAAGAATCAGAAATATTTTTGATCATAGGTTTAGAGCCAATCAACATAAACTCTGTCTTAGCTACATTGAGGCTAAGTTTATTAGCTATTAACCATTTTCTAAGGTTCTCTTAATCAGAATTTACTGCAGTCTCTAGGTCAGTCATAGAATTTGCTGAAGCAGTCAAATTTGTGTCATCAGCAAACAACCGCGGTTTTGTTTTGTTTAGACAATGTGGCAAATCATTGATGTACAACAAAAAGAATAATGGCCCTAATATAGAGCCTTGTGGTACACCACATTTAATCAAGCGCTCAGATGAAAATGAGTTTTTTATTTGGCACTTCTGGTTTCTGTTTGTGAGATAGGATTTGAGCAAAGTTAGAGCTTGTCCTTTTATTCCATAGAGCTCTAATTTGTTCAGCAGAATTTGATGATCAACAGTATCAAAGGCTTTCTTCAAATCAATTAAAACTACTAGGTTAAACATTTTTCTGTCTAGATTTACATACCAATCATTAGTACAGTCTAGTAGTGCACTAGCTGTAGAGTGAAATTTTCGAAATCCAAATTGGGAATCACTGAGAATCTCAAATTTTGTTAAATAGTTATACAGTTGATCATACAATATCCGTTCCATAATTTTACTAATGGCCGGTAAAACTGATATTGGTCTGTAGTTTCCAGGAATACTACGCTGGCCATTTTTATATAGGGGCATCACTCTAGCAACCTTCCATTCATCAGGAAAAGAAGATAAAGTAATAGCCTGATTGAAAATAAGTGTCAGTGAATCTGAGATAACAGGTGCAGCTAATTTAATAATTTTGGAAGAGATTTTATCGATGCCAGTGGCTTTATTGTTGGAAAGTCCATGCAAAAGATGAGAGACATGACTGACAGTAACAGGTTGGAAAGCCGCAAATTCTGATTGAGCATTTTGGACATAGGTTTCAAAATTGGAATTTGAATAATCTATTTTTCTAGCTAGATCTGGGCCAATATTTGAAAAATATTCATTAAAGCCCTCCGCAATATCTTCAGGAATTTGAATAATCTATTTTTCTAGCTAGATCTGGGCCAATATTTGAAAAATATTCATTAAAGCCCTCCGCAATATATTGTCGACATTGTGTAGTGAAACTGTCAAACCTTTAACTTTTTCTTGTTTATATTTTGTTTATATTATATTGTGAACTAAATGTTATTCTATTAGGCAAATGAGAACCATACAATAAATGTCTTTGTTCTTTTTGGTATTTTGATCGAACGCTCGCTTTATCTTTACTTGCGCGAATTCTAGTAGCTATTGCGCGAATTACAGTACATGTATTTTAAATATGGTCAAACCTTTAACTTGCCCTTCTTTATATTGTATTGTGAACTAAATGTTATTGTATTAGGCAAATGAGAACCATACATTAAATCAAAATAAACTGTCGAACCTTTAACTTGTCCTTGCTTATATTCCACTATATTGTACAAATTCGCGTCGGGTCTAAATTTGGGGGTTTTCGAGTCGTTTAGTACAACATATTGATTGTACTGAAATCCGCCGTGTCGGGCATATTTTGGAAGCCAAATTTTAGAGGCGTTTAATACAAAAAGAACATCATTAATTCAACACGCAAGAAAGTCCACAGTGCGACAAAAAATGAACATAACTACACCACGGATGTCTATGTCTCTACAACGTTTATTTATAGACAGTTGTTTACTAGTTAAAAAGTCAAACTGTCGAACCTTTAACTTGTCCTTTGTAAAATTCGCTGGGTCCAAATTTTGGGGTTTTCGAGTCGTTAGTAGTAGAAGTAGTAGAACTTTATTTATCCACGCTGACCCCGTCAACCGTAGCTGATTTCCACGGGGGGCGTGTGCCAGAAAATTATTTTACATGCAGAATATGATAAGGATAAGCTAAGCTATTACAGTAATATATAAATTTAAAAGATATAACAAATGTTTTGAGCTATTTACAGGTAAGTTATATTTACAAAGGTAACCAAGCACTAATGTGAGCAGCGATTTTATTTCGAAAGGAAGAAAGTGACTTGCTTTCCCTAATTTCTTTTGGTATAGAATTCCAAATGTTTGCTCCGTCGTACATAAAACTATTTTCCATGCTATTTGTACGTGGTTTTGGTAAATAAAGACCACTTGAGACATCCCGAAGGTGGTAATTAGTTTTCTCACTCTTAAACGAAAATAGATTTGTGAGTGATTTTGGGACCATTTTGTTTAATAACTTATACATCATTCTTGCTTTAGTTTTCTTCCTTTCAGTTTGGAGTGGTTCCCAGCCCAAAGTACGTAACGCAATCGTATAATCTACGTCATTGTTTATATTCAGAATAATTCTTGCCGCTCTATTTTGCAGTTTTTGCAGTCGTTTTGATTGAGTTTCGCCAAATACATCC